TTGTTGTGAAAGCCTTAAGGCTTGGTATAAAACTGTAGGATACTAGAAAACACCCGCAGAAAGACTGGAACCTGTTAAGATGCAGGACTTCAAGAAAACTTTGGTTTAAAAACATATTCTTAAACCAAAGTCATCTAGACTGCAAGTGAAATACAAACTTGTGGGCATTTCCAAAAAGGGAATATTAAAATAAATCAATCTCTTCCTCCTCCTGCCCCGAAACACTTGACAGACTTCCCGGGAAGCTCACTTCAAAAGCCTTTTTTCACTAGATCGGTTCTGAGGCTGCACGGGCACTTTCAGGACAGAGGCTGGACACACTGGTCAGCTGTTGGGAGTTGTGGTGGTTCTGGCTGGTTGATATCTTTCTGCACATGGAAGACTGCAAGCCCTGACAGTCCCATCTCTGCCAGAGTTTCTAAGGTTTTCATATTTCCTCTTTTCTAGAAGTATTTCTAGAAGCCAAGCATTTTGGGTCTCTGGCTTCGAGCAGGATCTTTGACACCTTTAAGGCCTGCTAGGCTTCTGGTTCCATGGCAGGAAACTTGGCTGAATTCCCAAACCCGTGGTTGAGGTTGAAGTCCTTGTGCCCTGTAGGCATCCTGCCATGGAGCTGAGAGTCTAGCCATGATTAAAACTGGGACTTGGCTCCAGCTCTGCCTCCAGTATGGCTGGTTGCACCAGCCTGAAACAAAGGCATAAATCTGTGAGGTTAAAACTAGGAAATGTGAAATTATGCTTTCCGACAGCAACAAAAATGTCCAGAAGTTTATAGTCTCTGCTAATGTATGAAGTGGTATGGTTTTCCTGGGGAATTCTCCCTGGGAAGGACTCACTCATTTGTACTTAAGACTGACCAGTCTGAGTGCTTAGACAAATGGGTGAGTGATCTGTGCCATGTGATCAATCACTTTTTCCAAAGATGTGTTCTAAGGGTCTTCAAACCTCAAGTCTGCCAAAACAGGAGTAAGGCATTGCACATGCTGCTTTCTCCATCTCTCTACTCCTCAGTTTTGTTAGGCAGCAGCCTGCAGTACTAATCAGAAGCGAAGCCGCTAAACAGCGGAGGTACCTCTGTTTTGAGCTGTAGTGGACTCTTGTCTTGTAGATTTATTTGTTAATAGACTTCCACTTTCTCACGTTCACATTCCTTTGTGTCCCTTGCTCCCTCTTCCCCCTGAAGCCTTGCTAAAGCATGTTACTCTGGTACCGCAACGCCTTGGCCATTTCTTGTTACCTCCATCACAAAGAGCTGTGCTGTTCTGTTTGTGCTTATAACGTACCCAGATGGTGAACAGAATGAGTGACCACCAAGCTCATTTTCACTTGTGGGGTCAGACCTTTCTCTGCTAAATAACACAAGTGTTCCCAGCTGCTGTGCAGCTGCAGGGAGTCTGCTTTCCTTCACAGGCATTAAAAACCCTTTAATCAGTGTTTGTTGTTTGTCAGCAGTGGTGTTGAGGTGTGGAGAAAAAGAACAGATATGCTTTGTTGGCAAAGTTAACTTCATTCTGACCTCTTATCTTCCCTTTTTCTTTTCAAGTCTGAAGAAGCAGAAAGTAGTTTGGGAAGTGGTTTCTGCAAGCACCTGTGTAAATGTATTTGCTAAAGGAGGAGGTTTATGTCCTTATACAGATACAACATTTGACATAAAAAGATGCTCCAAGAGCTGCATTGAACTGGAAGCTCTTTAGGGCAGGGACTCAAACTGACTGGTACAGGAGCTGTGCAAGCTCCCTTAATGTAAGTGAGTGCTATGAAAATACAAATACTAATAGTAGTGTTACTTATGCTTATTTTAGTATTGAGTCTATGTTCAATGGATCCCGTTTGCAATTTGGCCAACTTTAACATTTCTCTGGAAAGTAGATTGTTCCTGCTAGTTTTTGTGGGATTTTGTTTGTGGGGTTTTATGTTTGTAGGGTTTTTTTTTTAGTGTGTGAGTTTTTGTTTGGGTTTTGGTCTTTGGTTTTTTTTTTTTGGTTCTGCTTTTAATAGTTCTTCTCTAACAGAGGAAAAGGAAGAAGAGAAAAGAGCTGGTAAGCCAGTGATACTATCTGTATTCCCATTTGTTTTGGATGTAGTCTGTTCTGAAACAAATGGGGACACAGGTATCAAGAAGAGGCTTTAAGAAATCTCAGAGCGAAGGTAATGATTTCCCTCTTCTTTCTAGGTGAAGCTTGGAAACCTGGTGGTGCTGCACATGTTTGCAGGGTTGCTTTTTCCCTGAGTCCAGATCTGTTCACATTGTGTGTCTGTGTGTACAGCACCAAGCACTGCTCTGTGAGTGGTGATTCTGTTGCTTGCAAAGCCTGTTTTTGTGGGTGTCCCAAAGCTCTTACGACATCAAGCTTTGATTTGAGCTTCAAGGGACATGACAGGACATTGGCTGTTAAAGGCAGAATACTTTATCTTGCTACCCTTCCCCTGAAGGGACCAGAGAATCTTTGGAGGGTGGGTAGCCAGGCGTCAGGGTACCTGGTGGAGATCGCTCACAGCCCTCTGTCCCGCTCAGCAGCATCTCCTGCAGTGACCAAGGTGCTCTGTTGGAGGAGGGCTGTGCTCCTTGGAAAAGGGGTGCCTGCTTGCTCCAAGTGGGAATAAAGAACTGGGAATGAGTAACTTACTAATCATAGATTCAGGTGCTCTCCTCACGGGCAGACACATTTCAGTGTTCATCCAATGTTTTTCTTCAACTGGCTGAGGCTGCTTACAAAGGAGGGCAGTTGTCGTGCTCTTGGACAGGCAAGATGTTGGAAAGAAAACTCTCTGTGCTGGGTGGAAGGGGATGGATGCTCAAAACAGCCAGTATGTTAAATATCTCTGGATGGTCTGTGCTGATGGTCACTTCTGTAGCATGAATGCTTACCAGCTAGAAACAAGGCAAAGAACCACCATTTTGCTATCTGCAGTCTGGTGGGACTGCTGAGCAAAGACAAGGGCTCTGAGCTACAGTGGAGCAGGTGTCCTACTGTGTAAGGGGGAGTTTGAAGCCCTTCAGTAATATCTCCAGAAGATCCAGCCTTTCTGGCAGTGCTGTCTGATCACATGAGAAGAACCCTGATCAGACAGGCACGATCCTGGATCCTTCTGGAAATTAATGCAGACTTTTACAATTATAATCTAGCTGAACAAAACAAGCACCATCTTGTGCAACTATGTAAACCATAAACTTTTTTGGCAAGGCAGGTGTGGCATCTTCAGTGTCTGGAAAGCACCTAACATGCTGTGTGGCCTCCCTACTGTAATCCAAATTACAAATGCTAAAAAGGCTTTGATTTTTTTTTTTTCTTTTTTATAATGTGGTGCTTGGCTTAATTTGGGTAGGCAGGAACTTCATAGACTACATTGGGATGCTCTGCATGTTTTCTCAGGCCCTCATAATTAATCAATGCCGAGCTGTTCCTCCCCATCCCTCTGTGAGGAGGCACCAGAGGAAAGCTGTTCCATAGCCTTAGGTTTAGCTCATTTGTCAGTCCTGAGAAGGACTTTCCATTCTTCAGAGATGCTCTTTCTGGAAGGAGGGGCGTTCCTGGTCCACAAAGCCCAGCTATATTCTAGTATTTTGGTACAGGCTGCAGAAGGCTTAAGTGAGTTTTCAGGATACAAGCTGAGTTTTCAGTAAGTTAGTAATGTGGTTTGATGCTGGGAACCAGTATTTTGGCTTTTTTGGTGCACCTCTGGATAACCCTGATCTGTGGAACTCTGCTTCTGACACAAGGGATTTGCAAAAAGATTCAAGCCAGTAGCTCAAGCCCTCAAAGTTGTGATAAATGGCAGATGCATGTGTTCCTTCTAAACCAGAATGGCTTCTGTGTTTAACTGAATGTTTAGTCACTGTATGCGCACCATACTGTGCTACCAGGCAGCTCTGCTTTTAAAGTCTGTTTATACAGACAGCTGAAAAGCCTAGCGAGTCTTTCAGGGTCTCTGACATGCTGAGAGGAAGCTTCAGCATCTTCAGTCTGCTGCGTTTTGCTGTATGTTTACAGTCACTGGTGATCTTTGCACCTCGGGGGCTACAGAAAGACATTACTGTAGCCAGAGCAATTCCAAGCTAACCTGTGATAGTCCAACACCTGACAAGAACTGGGCAAAAATCTGGTCCAGCTCTACAGTGTTTTTATAGTCTAGTCCAGATCTCTATAAACTATTTAAAATTGCCTTCAGGTTTAAATTTTCCAATTTCCCATTTGGAACAGGTGTTGCCAGGTTATAGAAAGTGTTGCAGAAAAGGAACAAAAACACTTAAACTGTGCTGTTACAAATTTTGGCAAGTCTCTGACAGATGAGATTTTTTAAAAAAAGTTTGCCCCACCCAAATTAAAACAAGTGCAGACCTTGCTTACTTTTCCCAGCTGTCATGTTTAAATAGGGTTTTTTGTAATGTATGATTCTTCAAAAGATCCAGCAGTACAGAGCTAGTAAGTTTTTATATGAAAGTATGCAACTTCTCAATTGTTTTTCATCTCATTTAATTGGGGAGAGAAACAGGGTGAAGATTTTTTTTTTAAATGTCAAAAAACAAATTTCAGAGATGCATGTTCTTGGAGTGGTTAAAAACCAACCCAAACTAGGCTTCAGGCAATGTTTTTTCAACAGCTTTAACCTCAAAGCATCCAGCAGACAGCTTTGTAGGCAACTGTAACACCAAGGTGATTATGGCAGTGACTCACACTTCCCTGTAAGGCATCCAGCTATCAACACACTTGGAGAGCTGTGGCTTTGTGCATGCAGGCAGGGTGTCAGTCAGTGCCCACTTGCCAGCCAGCTCCGAGCTGCTGAGCTCCTAAGTGCTTTGACATCGAGGTGGGATATTGGTGTGTTAGAGAGCAACTCTGGTCCTCCGAGGCTTGCAAGGGGCTTAAGACATCTTTAACTTTCCTTTTCTTTGCTTAATGGGACGTGATGCAGGAGCCCCCTGAAATCTTCTTGTGAGCAGGTGGTTGGGTTTGGGTAATAGTTAAAGGTCTGACTGACTAATCACTGAGCGGGGTAGCATGGGAAGTGAAAAGGGCTGCTACTATCATGTCCTGGTGAAGCTCTTCCAATGGTTATGGAAAGAGGATGGGCAGTTGGGGTCCTCAGGAAGACAGTATGAACTTGGGAAAGAGACCTGTGTATCCCTATAGGCAGCTCAGAGTATAGCTGAGGGTACAACAGTGAACTACTGGCAGGTGTTGGGATTTCCAGGGGACAAGCAGACAGAAACTGGGGACTCATTCATGTGCATTGTGGGTTTCCCCATCTCTAAAAGGTAAGGCAGAAGCCAAGCTGGCCTCAGGGAAGGTGAACAGAAGTGATTGTGGTATGGAGGAATTCTTCTGGGCAAGGAATTGGGAGACTGGGGTTGTTTGCACTGAGAGGCTGAGAAGAAAGCAGGCTGCATCTGAACTGAATGCTTGGGAAGAAGAGGTATTCAGAAAGATGAAAAATTCAAAATTCTGAAAGGAAATAGATTTTCACATAGTGTGCAATTAGATTGTGGGATGCATGGAATGCAGTTGACAGCTGGGCAGGATGTCATTGGGAAGGAACAAAGCGTGGCTTTGGGAGTGTGCAGGTATGCTGTTGCAGGTGGTATCCACAGATGACATACGTCATGTTTCAAAAAACCAAATAACTGGTGATATGAAGCTGGCCGCATCCATGGTTCAACTACCAAGGTCAATCATGATAGGTTATTTGGGTTCCTTCGTTCTTGGTGATAAGTTTCTTGCACCTCTGACTAAAATTGTCTAGTACCAGATATTGTTTGTGGCAGGACACTGGGCAAGCTGGGCTGTTGTGACTCAGTATTGCCCTTCCCGCGTGGGTTGTGTTTGGCTTTGCACATCTTATGTTTTCAGAGGTGAGGCAGAGTGAGTAATGTTTCCGTTCTATTAAAGAAAATGGAATGGCAAAGGCCCTTTAGGTTTTTTTTTTAAAGATGTACGTGTTTCATTTTAAGTTCCCTTCAGGCAAAGTCAACCTTGGTAGGCAGCTTAAACTGCATTACAGGCCATATTGCTATTGTCATAAAACCAAAATACACCGTGCTCTGTTTTGGGAAACCAAACAAAACCAATATTTTTTTTTCTTTTCTCCCTCCTTTTTTTCACTTCCTTCAGTTTTTAATAAGTGACCGTGACAGAGACCCTCAGTGTAACCTGCATTGCTCCAGGTCCCAGTCCAAACCCCTCTGCGCCTCTGATGGCAGAACATACGAGTCAATGTGCGACTACCAGAGAGCCAAATGCCGGGAGTCAAGTCTGAGTGTGACACATCGCGGCCGGTGCAAAGGTAGGTGGATTTCAAATGCCTTTGAGGGGAGGAATGGGAGTCTGACCTCATAAGAAACTGGATTCTTAGGCCCTTGAGTTTAGTACCATGCTCTGTGAGTAATCTGACTGAAATAGTGCATTCGTGTGAGCATGGGTATCTGAGTCTGCATTTAGGTGGCAGGAGTAAAAAACGAGCGAATTATCAATGAAAGAAGGCAAAGGAGCCAGAGACATCACTGAAAAAGGGCTGAAGTATATGTCTGCAGAGCAGAAGGAGCTGGCCCCATGGAAATGCAAAATCAAGTCCTGAAAGAAGAGATCTTCCTTGCTACCTGTGCTGGTGAGGAACTGAGATACCCTTGAGTGATAGGAATGTGGAGTGGGAAAGAAAATGTGGTGCACATTAGATGTCTAGTCCCTTTCCAGACATACACAGCCTTTCTGTGCTGAGCTAACTGAGACAACAGAATGCGTGCAAGGCTTGACTTGGCCTCTTTTTTGCCTGTTTGCTGTTACACGTCTACTTAAAAGTGAGAATATTGTTTCTCTCTCAGTTCAGCTCTTCAGCATAGTCTAAAGATAAAGTTGCAACTCTTAAGGAATTTTGGTGTCTTGTCACACAAATGGTTTGCTTCTGCAGTAAAGTGAAAAATCAAGTTGAGTGCATTTTCTGAGAGCACAATTGACTCAGAGGGCAGATGGCACAGATGTTTTTAGCAATTGGTTAAAGTGACAGGAGAAACTCATTAAAATCCCTGTGGAAGGATAAATAGGCACACGTTTAAGCCTGACTTTTGCTTATGAAGGCTTTTTTACTATTACAAAAATATATCTTTGTCAGAATTACTTGTTCTAAAATGGAAATCCCTTTTCAATGTATTGACAGGCTTTATAGTTTAGGTAAATTATGAGCATGACCTCAAATATTGCTCTCTTTTAGACAATTTCTCATTGGAAAAAAGCTTACTTGTGTGATTAAACCCAGAGGCTTTCTTCCCAGGGCCCAAGAAGTGGTTGGACTGTTCTTGCAAGTGTGGCATTTTTGAGTATCATGATAAGAAGTGGTAGGGTAGGAGCCCTGCTTTTGATTTCATTACTTGAGCAGAGTGGCTTAGATAGGCAACTCCATGGCTGATACTGGCATATAAACTGGCACTGTTCAGTCACTTAAAGCATGGGACCTGAAATGTGGTATATCCATATGCAAAAGTGTCTGTTTCTAGAAATGAAGAAAATGTTGAGTGCCAAACTACACAGCCTACTGCATTTTGTGATTGTAAAGAGTCCTAAAGAAGTAACTAAAGACTCTTTTGTCTTAAGCACAGGTAAAGCATACCTTCCTGTCTGCTCTCTGACACAATTGAAATGTTTAGCTGAAACTACTAGTGTTCTTTCCTTTTTCCTCTTACCCTGTGGTACTGTACAGTACCTAATAATGTGGGAGTGTTTGACAACCACAAGTCTTGCTTTCAACACACTAACATTTCCATGAATCCCTGGGAAGTAGGAATATTCTTTTAACTATCACGTTCAAATTTAACCTTGCTGGTAATTTCCATGTGTGCTGCTATCAAAAGGTATTTTGCTTTTCTGGTCGCAATAGGAATATGACCTCTAGTTGTGCATAAAGATCACTGTTCTTGGCAAATACAGACAGTTGCGAGAAAGGTGTGCCTAACTACAGGTGGTTGGCCAGGTCTGTATCTTGTACTCACTCAAAGGAAGGTATCACCAGCAGTGTTTGAGCACCTTCTGCAGTAGGGCACCAGGTTTATCCTGAACAGCCTTTATTCCTTCTGCATGACAGAGATGCTCTACAGGGAAACTCCCATAGAACTGGAAGGGATCCCATGGGCCTTCGAGCCTAGTTACATGCAGTTGTGGTAGATGCTGTATCCAAGAACTTATCCTTACGAAGTGAGCAATTTTAACTTGCTTCCTCCTCTGGGGGGAGGAAAAAACACAGGTAACTAAAACAAGAAAAAGAGGGAAATATATTGTGGTCAGCAAGGCATGGTTTTGCACCCCAGATTACTGTTGGTTTCCAATTTCATATGCTGATAACTTGAACTGTGCTTGTGCCAAGGAAAGCAGAATGGTTTCCATAGTGAGAACAGAATCTTTTTGATTCAGCTTAGCTCTCTGTTCTCTCTCAAGAAGCTAAGGACCTTTAAAGATGAAATCTTTCCAGCCCTTTGGGAACAATAACTCTTACGCAGCTCTTGCTCCTTGCTAGCTTCCTCATGTGCTTTTCAATGAAATTCTGTCAGTGCTAAATTATCTGAACTCCCTTCAAACCCTCACACACATCACAAAGGGTTAAAAGTCAGGAGTAGCTTAAAATGATCAAACTATGGCATCCATGACAAATGGAGCCTCACTGATGAGATTCCAGAGAATAGTTCCAGATGGCATAGCTGTGCATTTAAAAATACACAGCCAAGCACTGCTACCTGGATATTTTGTGAGCAGGCATATTAAGCTCTGACGTCAAATAAGAGTTCTGCCTCAAAACTTTTCAGGGATGAAGGACAAATATTTGTTAAATGAGTCTTGGCAAACTGTCAAGATTATGCAGTGGCTGTTAGGGTATGTTGGATATCTGTGGCTTAAAACACATTTAAGTTCTATGTTAACTGGTTTGTTTCTAGGAACTTGTTTGGCCTATTCAATTAAAAAAAACAGGGTGGGAGTGTTATAAAAAACTTTTATAATGGTTGGTTTTGAAAGCATGCTGGTACAGAGCTTGTTCTTAGACCATGAGTCTCTGTAGAATGTGTCTTCAGCCCATCTCCTGGAACAGCTGGATGAACACAACTTTTGGCTAATGTGCTGGAAAGTAAAGGTCTCCTTCTGACCAATGATGGGTTGTTTGAAGGTAATCTTTCTCCTCTACCTACTGTTCTTGTTGGACAGGAGATGGTATTTTGAAATAATTTTTTTTTAGTCTATTTGCTAGATCCATGTGTTTTGTCGTTGAACTTTCTTATTCCTAGTCAATGGAGAGTAAAGAGGGTCCCTCCTTGGCAGCAGTTAGGCCATAAAATCTGAAGTGACACTTTCAATCACTTTGCAAATTTAGGCGTGTTTTCAGGTATGCTCCAAATAAGTAAGGGAACTCTGGAGTAGAAATGGTGTGTGGGTATCAAAGAAGGAGCAAAACATGTCAGTATGGAAGGAAAGAATTTGGAGATTGCAGGTGTAGGACTTGTCAGAAATGAAGTGGAAAACAATGGGGAGAGTGAAGAATGATTGACACCCTGTGGGACAGATGGGCATGTGTTTGTAGTTTGCTCATGTTCCATTTTTGCCTGTTATATGCAAATACACGGATCATTGGCTGGAGTAAATGGGTACGAATCTGCTGACTTCAGTGTAGCTGGACCGACTGCTTCATGCCTGGTGGGGACCTGGCCTGCACGTGAGACAGTTACCTAATGGAACTAGAAATAGTTCAAAAGCTGCTTGGAACAATTTTTGTCCTTTGAGCTTTTGATAAAAACAAAGTAGAACTAAAATTGAATAGATAAATTTTTGTGGTTGCGTTGCATAGATCTGCTGCTAGTGTTATGTGGATGCCTGGAGATGTTTTACTTTGTATTATTAGGGTAGCTTGGGTCTTTATACCGTGATGATGTGTGCTGTCAAAACTGCCTCTCTCTGTTGAAGAGAGGATGCTGGAATTCTTGGGGCCTGTTCAGGAGTGCACTGTGTATATTATGAGGGACATGGTGGTCTCATTTGAATAAACTGTTCATGGATAAGATCAACCATGGTAACTGGCCAACTTCATTGCAAAATCCAAAATTATGTGCACCTGCATTCTGCAGATTAGGCCACAGATGTCAAAAACATCGCTTGTAGTTCACAATCTCCTAGTTGCCAGCTACCAACCTGAGAATGAATTTCCTTTAAAAGGCAGCTTTCTGAGCTGCAGTAAATCTGTCCTAAGTTTGAAGATATTTAAAGTCAAATTATTAAACAGCTCTGCTTTTAAAAAGGTCATCCTGTTTTGGTTTTTCACCTTATGTATGGGAGGGGAGAAATTCCTATTTAGTCTGTCCGGACCATGAAACTGGAATGCATTAATGCCATTCCGTTTTGTAAGCTTGGTGTTTGATACACCAGAGAACATTTTTAAGAAGAGGGAAGAAAAACTGTTGAAACACTAAGGTAAACAATCAAAATGCAGAATAGCGTATGTGAATCTACATCGTAACATCAGGCTTTAGTAAAATTTGTAATACATCTTATTTGGGGCGAGTGACTTGGCAGCCACTTTTTAACACTTGGCACTTATGTAATATTTTACATTTTCTAATTAACAAAGCAAAAATAGCAAGGTGACGTCATCCCACTGAAATCACATGTTGATGCAAACATTATAAAAATACCAGCCTATGGAGTGAGGAAGAGAAGGATTGACAACCCTTTTAAAAACAAACTGGTAAATGTTGATATTAAAAGGCACTGTTTTTACTGGAACTGAACCGTGAAATGACAGACAAAAAAGATAGCAGTATGCACACACCTCTCCAGCCATCGTGGTATATAGGTGGTTGTTCCAAGTCAAGGCTGTAAAAGGACTGGCATGACCTTTGGAAATCAATGAGGGAGGAGAGGAGAAGTAATCAGGGCTGAGTGTTCATGAACAGGACAAAAATTGTCTGTCTTCTCTGCACTTCAGCAGGAAGTTGTGAAGAGATATCACTTGAGCCAAGGGTTGAATTGCAAAAGGGGATGCTGCAACAACGGTGAGCTCTTTAGTGCTGTGGTGTAGTGGTGGCATCCTATGCAGTGTGGTGTAGTGGTGGCATCCTATGCAGTGTGGTCTACTGGGTGGTAGTAGAGAGTTCAATCTATAAAGGCAAGTGAAAATTGTCAGGAGGAACATAGTCAGCTTAGCAGTAACAGGTTTATATTATCTTCTCCTTATACTAAGGGCTTGATTGTGTGCATGGCTGTCTGCTCATTAGACAAATTGGACAAAGATCTGAGTTAGTGTCCCTTCTGCCTGGGCTCCTAATGTATTTGTACTACAGGGGATACCACAGAAGGTTTGTTCCTACCAGCTACGTGGTGAAGCATCCAGTTTCAGTCATGTAGTTGTGAGTGTGCCAGCACTAAAGTAGATGCTATGTGGAAATGCTTTACGCTTCTGTTTTATGTTCAGGAGAGGAACCAGATATGCCTGTCTGCAGTTCTGTATCTCAGATGGAGAGACTAGAAAACACTTTCATTTGTGAATCTGTGTGAATGTGTGAATTTGTCATGTGAAAAATTTGTAAGTCTCTCTTTTGCTTTCCTATACGTGCAGATCTGCATAATTTATGCTGATTTTTTTGCTACTTAGTTGTCTCATGTGAAGCAGAGCTTGAAGGTGTTTTTAGGCAGACAGCTAGCTATAAAACAGAAGGTGCAGCCACACCATCTGGTTTTGTAATAACGTCCTATGTCATGCCAAACAAGATTAGATTCTGAAGCTTGAACAGGAGATCTGCAGGTGATTGTTAGGTGCTCCAGTTAACAGCATTGCCAGTGCTTCCTTTTCAGCTGAAAGAGCAAACATGTGTTGGAAGGGTCAATACTGCTGGCAGGACTGTCCTCCAATGGAGGTGTGCAAACAAGGTCTGATCATCTGGTCGCTTTGGCAAGCAGGGGGTGGAAAAAAGTAAATTCCAGCTTAGAGGTTATATCATGGCTAATTAGGAAAAAAATACTGCTTTTCTAAATTCACTGTAGATTTTATTCAAGAAAGTCTTTTCATTCTGTGAGAAACAATCTTGCTCTTTATACAAGCTCATAATAGGTCCACCTGAGATCAAAGCTCCATGTGCTAAGGGTATTGTGCAAACACCCACAAACAAATTACAGCCTAAAGATGAGTGACATAGGATCAGAAGGGATGCAAGGTCATAGGGAGGTGAGGTGGCTGACTCGTAATCACTCAGTGGGTCAGTGGCAGAGTTGATATAGGCACTCTTGCTTCGTAACCCAGTGCCTAAGCTACAGGCGTCTGTGCTGAATACTATTGCTATGAACAATGACTTTTTCCAAACAGAAGGGTTTGGTTTCCATAATTTCAGAAGACTTGTGAAATCCTTCTTGGGAAGAAATGCGATATGTTTAAAATGAAACTGTGTTGGCAAACCAGAATCTTAGTCTCTTGAGTCATCAGTTGTGCAAGTAAAGTACTCTGCTTGAAAGCTTTGGTCTGTGTCTTTATCAAAACCATTTACAGCGTTGTCATTGGCTTCTGCATCTAGATATGGTTAGATGGAAATTGCTTCTATTGCCACACAATGTGAATTCAGTTGATCTGAGAACACAGACTGGCTGGTATCTGTGATTCTGTTGTTGAAGTTCATGCGATCTGTGAAGAAGAATATGGGATCTTCAGGGATCCAGTAGAATTTTTTTGTTAACCACTGTGATTTCCATACCTGGTAGAATGGGGACTCAACCTTGATCAGTCTCCATGCTGCTGCTGAAAGATTCTGATGATCAGATTTTGCAGCTTCTGCACTGAAAATCTTTCAGTCAGTGGATTCATGGGAAAGGAAAGAAGGTTGCTAGTCCCTGTGTCAGAGTCCTGTGGAAACAGATGTTTGCTGTTTTTCTTCTCTTTCTAGACTGAACAGCAGTACTGTTAGACATCATGTTTTCAAATGTAAACACTGAGTCAATCTGTATCTCTGCAGGGGAGAACTCTCCTCTTTGACCCATCAGTCATCAGTGTTAGGCTTATCTGGGTCTATGCTCTGTAACAGTGAGCTGGACCTGGAAAGGGTTAAGGTCATGTTATGTGCTGCTATCCTCTGAAGTAAGTGCAGAGCTGAGATCTTAACCCTTCAAGCTCTGCTTGTAGAGAAATGTGTTTTTTCTTGGCAGTAGAGTGAGTGATATGAGAAAGTATAATGCGCACCTGGCTGTAGGCACTGGGACTAGAGGTAGAAGCTGGGTTTCAGGAAAGCACAGGCAATGGAGTATCTACCGTATTTGAACCATGCAAAGGTGAAAGTTCAGATGGGTGGCTGGTTATTTTAGCATCTTACATGGAGAGTTGCTCAGAGAAGAAGCTTTGCTGTGGCTATCCCTTCTTCCACATTGTTTGCTTCTGGGCCATCCAATTTCAGGCCGTTAACCCAAACGCAACTCCCACTGGGAAGGTCTTTCACTGAGTGGACATTGTGCTCCAGCACTTGATGGAAGAAGCTTCCAGAGTCCTTGGATGACCATAACAACTATAAAAAATATAAATTCATGTTGTCTAGGAAATCAGGCAGTTCTTCATTAACTGGCTCATAGTTTGATTGTCTGGGTTCATATTTGTCTTGGGATCATGAGTGCTAACTCCATAGCTGCGTTGTTAATGTGAAGGTAATGGTCCTTGATGCCTTCTATTTGTTTGTTTGGGTTCCCCCCACCCTGCAGCTGCGTGGTGCATCTGGTAGCTTTTGAAGTGGCCAAATGGTGTTTGCAATCTAAGTGGGTTTTGCTTTTCTCTTTGTAGATGCTGGCCAAAGCAAGTGTCGATTAGAGAGAGCTCAAGCACTGGAACAGGCAAAGAAGCCCCAGGAAGCAGTCTTCATCCCAGAATGCAATGAGGATGGATCATTCACCCAGGTAACATTTCTGTTTGCTTCCTTCAGCCAGGCTCCCAGTGGCTGCAGGGGAATCACTGTTAAGACATGAGCCAAGCAATGATAGCAGCATGGGTGCGCACTCTGACTTGGTTACTCAGGTGAAAGTGTTGAAAGCTGGGGACTTGGTTAACCAACTGGAAGCTTTGATTCGGTCACCATACCTTAAGACACATACATATCTAATGGCATGCACCTCCAGTGTACCACAGAAACAACTGGCATCAACCTCCAGCATAGTACAGAAACAAAAACAAGTTGCAGGGGAGGTCAATTTTTCCCCAAAGATGAGCTGCAAAGAGAGCTGCGACCCCACAGAACAGGGTGGACCAAGCTGCTTCTGCTGTTACCTGTGCTTCATCTATCCCAGCAAAAAAGTGGTCTGTTGAGCCTCTTCCCTCTGCAGGGTACTTCTTAGTGACAAACTCCTCTTTCCTGTTATATGTGCTGTTGTGTTTTGGGGGTCTGGCAGAGAGGTGATGAGACTGCTTTGTTTGGGTTTTTGATTCTTCACTGCTCACTTGCTGGAACTAAATGATGTGCTGAGATTGTAGACTGTTTCATAATGCTGCTTCTCTTGAGAAGCAATTATCTCAGGAGGGGTAGCAGAGGAGGCTTACAGTTTGTTGGCCTTTAATGTCTGTGAAAAATTAATAGTCCTGGTCACTGAGCATCCTTCAGAAGTAATTGGACTGGAAGAGGTCCTGCAGAATTCAGGAGAAGTTGAAGTAGTTATGGCAAAAAGAAAGCCCTCATGAAGGAGATATTGAGATGAAGAATAGTTTGGTGAGGCATGGTAGAAATTAAGAGCGATACTTAATTCTGTTACCACTAGCATATTGAGTAGTGTCCCAGTGCTAACTGAACTGGGTGTTAAAAATGGCTCATGCACAGTTCCCTAACAGGTAGGAGGGGTATACTCTCTGCTCAGTTTGGCGCGTATCTCAAAAGCCAAAATCCTGCAACCCTGATGATGTCTACTTTATGAACTTAGGTAAATCACACAAGTTTTTTTGCCTTAGCTTCCCTATATCTAGCACTGCTCTAGAGATCTTGTGCCTCAGAAATTTTAGGATTCATTAGTAATTGTTTGCAAAGTCTTTTGAAGGTTAAAAAAATTCCAAAATATAATCAATAAGAGCTTCAAAAAGATGAGAAAGACAAAAAGTTCATTCAAACACTTTGTGATGCCTGGGGGAAGAGGAGAGGAAAGATTTTTTTTGTGATAACCCACCAAAAATTTTTATGCCCCCCTTCAGCCTTACCCTCCCATTATCTGGTGTGTGGGAGTGGTTTTGTTATGGTTTTGTTTTTTAATGGTGAAGTGGGAAAACTTTCATCCATCCTGCCAACTTTGCATACTTCTTTGGAGCAGCATGATATTTGTATACAGTGTGGACCATCTTGGGAAGGTGGGGGTAAGAGAAGGTGGCTGCAGTTTTTTTGCAGTCTGACTACACTCTCAGTTGTTGAAATCTGATTTTGTCTAGAGCTGCTCAGATTATGTTGGCACTGGAGAGGAATAGTTATAAAACCTAGCCCAGTGGGCCAACTAAGCATGCCATGTTAAACTTTATAGTTCAAGAAAAAAAGGGGAAGGAAAGCTGACTTTCCAATGTCTGTCAGCTGTCCATCAATCTCTTGGAGAGTAAAGTACGAGATGCAGGTGAAATTTTATCCTAATAAGCTGGACTGAGAGTGCAGTTGATAACCTGTCTGAAACAAAGCTTTTATTTGGAAGGTTGGTACTGGTGTCTGGATTGCGGAGCAGTTGCTGGGCCTCTTTCCTGCACATTCCCTGGCCAGTGTGGGTTGCCAGTGGAGGGGCAGCATGAAACTGCTTACAAAAACGGTGTTTTCAGCTGGCAGCTAAGCGATACTTCACATTCTTCCTCCGTTCAGTCCTATCTGTCAACACTAAAATGCTTTTGTTTTACCTGGCATGATGAAGGAAGCCTCTGGTCCCTTTGTAGCTGGAATTAACTGAAATTCATATCATTCCTTGGATTGTAAAAATACCCCATGTTCCACATACCTCAGGAACCAGCTTCATCATTTATATTTCAGCATTTAAGGTCACTGTCCCTGCCTAAGATGTGAATGAAAAACAATGTCTGAGGAAGCCAACTGGTTTCAACCTGCATTTGAAACAAATATTTCCTTTAGCTTCTGGTCCAAATTAATTAAACTTTGATTTTAGAAGGAGGTATAAGAATTAGAATTTTGGTGAATGTTCTAAACAGTTTTTGCTTCCAGCAACTCGTTAATAAATCTCATCTGGTGGAGGTGGTTTGGATGCTGCATCTCTTGTGCAGAGAATTGGCACCCCCAGGTTCTGCTCTGCAGGCAAGCTGTGTAGACCAGTTCTGGAAGTCCTTGAGGCCTTGCGGAAGTCACATCTGAACTGTTACTAGTTTACTCTGGTTCAATATCCAGAGAGTTGCTCCATCCAAACTCCAAAATCTCGGTTGGGAAGTCCAGAAAAGAGCAGCATCTCTCAATGAAGTTTCCAGGAGAAATACCCACCATGCTCTTCAACCTTGAATCCCCATCTCACCAAGAATCTAAGCAGATGCATACGCTGTGTGTAGAGTTGGCTAGGGAAATTTTTGCAACAACTTCCCCCCCTTCTATGTAACTGGAGGAATGCTTTGGGCACAGGAAGAATTCTGATCAGAGGGGAAACAAAGATGCATGCATATATTTAGAATATCAAATGTCCATTGTTATAGCACTCAAGATGTGGATGACTTGCTTTCAGATCTTGAGCTGAGCCTCTTTTTTGTAGCTGCCAACACAGTAGGTATTCAGGCCCACATCATGGTCCTACTATCAGACTTGAAAAGATCTGGGTTTTTGTCTAATTAATTGTTGGAAATTCTTCAAAGTTTTGCAGGAGTGAAAAACCTGAACAGTGCAGGTTTGGGAGCTGCGTTTGGTAGTGGTAACTGTATGTTCATAGAGCCTGCTTGGTCTTAACCAGATTGAACTGTTGCTTTTGTGGTGTATCATCATCCTCTTGATTAGAAACTAAATTGCAATCACTGTGGCTAAACACTGAAAGCAGCACTAAGCGAGGCTGTTCCACTGAAAGCAGCTCAATCCTGCACTTCCCAGCTCCTGGAATTGCATGTGGTACAAAACTGTGTGAATTTGGGGCTGGATCCACTGCAAATTGGATGGTCTTGTAGGCTGGTGAAGAGAACATAGCTACTCTGCTGTTCTGTGACCGGCAGCACGTGCTGCATGGGGCAGCAGCTGCAGAGGGGAGACCACGCTTGCCTTATCTCCTCCTGCTTCCCTGCAGGGCAGCTGGCTCTGAGACCCAGCTGTGAGATGTGGTAAGGAGGGTTAAAGGGAGAAGGACCTGAAGGTAAAGACCTTGGTTTGGCTTGCATTTAAATATTGCATTAGAGAGACACGCTGTGCGTCTTGAAGACTCGTGTAATCTGTCTTTTTTTCATTGTCTGTAAAATCTAGACTGAAAAGAAGTGTTGCCACCAATTCTATTGCTTGGATGACCAGTTTTCCTAGGCACGGCTGGTTATAATGGGTTCTGTGTACTGCATGAAGAGGAACAGGCACCTGTCAGTTCACTGGTTTTCATAACTGTTTCTATGCACCATGTGTGCTGCTTCCCTTATTCTGGGAGTTTGTGTATCGCAAAGATCTTATCAAATCCTTTTTTAGCACTGCTTACACATCTAAAAATGCGGTATGGATTTGCAGCATGGAAGAGGTGGTGGCATTGCAAGCATGATGGGATGACTGTAAATGGGAGCAGACCTGATGAATTGCTCTGCTATTTTTTTTATATTTCAGTCTGTGTGGGGAATATTACTTCCTCTAACAAAAGCTCTCTGCACTTAGCCCACAGTAATATAAGCACGCAGATAACATTTGAGTTATTCACAACATAAGAATGTTTGCTTGATATGAGTAATTTGATTAATTATCTAAAGCTGAGGTCACGTACTGTTGTGCAAAATTGGACATGACTAAAACCAGTTTCTGTTCCCAAGACTTGCTCTCTCCTTTTTGCTGTTATGCTGTATTTTGCATAAATGCCATTCCCTTTCCATGCTGCACTTAACCTGCTGTGATCTGTTCTTCATAAACAACAGGCTCTATTGGGTAATCTGCACACTTTCTGTTGCTGCCTAGTGCCATTGGGCTTGTTGCCATGGGCCGAGAGAGACTTGCATTCTTCATAGTTTTCCCCCAAGCAGTTTTTTAGAAAAGGTTGCTGAGGTTTTAAACGGGTTCCGTTTCAGACAGATGAATATGAACGTGAACAGTATTAATGCTGCTTTGGGCGTGTAGTCTTGTGGGGCTTTTTGTGGTGTGCCTTGCTGTTTGCTGCCACCTTCCATTGTCGAGCTGTGGCTTCTTTTCCTTGCAAGTCTGCATACAAGCGGCTGAGAGCAAGCCTCCTTGGAGAGTCTCTTTGAGTTTAGGGCTCTCAAAACTGCAGCTGTTGGTGCAGTTACAATGCAGCACGGAGATTTCTCTTGAAGCAAGTGCATCAGTCAAACCTGTCGTCTTATGACAAGTGCTTTGTCAGAGCAGTTTTCTGTTATCAGATGGCTTCCAGAGCACTCCCACATCCAGTAATATGAGTCTGTTTGGAAAGAGTGATCTACATTATGGTCCATAGCAATAGTTTCATTCCGTGCTATGCTAACACCTGTACAAAGTGTAGTTTTTCCTAAGTCCCACAAGCAGACCCCTTTCTAAAGACGTGGGGAACCCTCTCAGCCTTCAGTGTGACTTCATGATCCAAGTCCATTCTTCTGCGTTGGCTAGTGTAGCATGATGCTGGGCAGAATTACAAACTCATTTCTTAATGCAGCACGGTGCTGCATGTCCTGCATTCCCTGGATGCTATTATTCCATTATTCAGTGCTCATACTCTAGCAATACTAAGCTCTCAAGGACTTAACCTCTCCTTTCAGAAGGAAAGAACACTGTCTTGCTGCATTA